ACAACAATGATGTAGACCCTCACTACAAAAGCCACTAAAATGAATAAATAATAAGAAAATTAATATTTGAGATAAAATTACAATATTCATTAGAAAACAAAAATAAAAATCAGAAAATGYTAACTAGTTAGTATTTTTATAAAATATTTATAAAAAAGAATTAACAAAAATAAAAACAAAAGAATAAATTAATTACTTTATAATATAAAACATAAAATATTTTTCAAGTAATAAAATATTAACTAGTTAGTATTTTTAAAATATTTATTTAAATCAGAAAATGATCATTAAATTTTATACTAAATCATAATTTATTATAAATTTAGTATTAAAAATCATAATAAATTCATTAAGTTTTATAATAAATCAGAATTTATCATAATCTTAATGCTACAAAAAAGGAGAATCAGTTTATTAAATTTATAATAAAACATAATGTATTATAGCTTTAATATTTAAAAAATCAGAATAAATGTATTTCTATTTACTAGTGTGAAATAAATATATTAGAATTTATAATAAATCAGAATTAAAATCAAGAAAAGAAAATATCGGATAACCTCGTAAAAACATCAAAATGCATAATAAATGAGTAAATTGTCATTTACTAATTTGTTATTGATCTTAGTTTCTTAGCTTTATATAATGGTTGGGAATAAGATAATAGTCTAGAAATATGTATTAATGCTTTTTTTCATCATTTTACAAAATATCATTGCATATTTCCACATATTTCATAATATTTCCACAATGTCTCTAATTTTTCAATATTTCCCCTTGACATTTCCGACATATGTCCTATATTTTGGTAAGCGACATTTCCATCAACATTGACATTTTAAACCTTGTGAACAACAAATGCAGTGTCAACTCCAGAATTCATTGATTTCCCATCAATACTTGTAGTAGTAAGAAGTCTATCTCTTCTCTCAAAAGGTCACCCATCACTGAATCTAAATCTGGAAGAGTTCCTCTACTCAATGTGTCAGACCTGATTATTTCATATTCAGGTCTCCATCTCATAAGAAAATGATTCACCTTCCTCTTCTCAAAATGTTTTTGGAGATACTTGACATTTTTTGCTGAATCTGAGGGTTCTATGTGGACAAGTTCATATTCTACCCACAAATCAAGGAAACCAGCATTATATTCTTGAATCTTCCTATCTCCTTGACAATAAGCAAAAATCTTAGCCTCAATCTGATATTGTCTTGACATATTGGATTTGATAATATACTTTCTCAAAGTAGGCATACATCTCACAGGCAGTACACATTCTCTTCATGGGTACTGCAATATGAGATATTATCGAACTGAGTATCCAAGAGACTATTTTCCCATTATCAAGTTTCCACTGTGAATAGGCCTTTGCATCTATTTTATCCGGCATAGTGACCTTTCTATTCAAATATCCCTCCAGACCTTTTTCTCTCAACAAAGAAATCGAAATGGAACTTCCACATGGTGTAGTTAGTTCCATCAAACTTTACAGGAATAATATCAGCCTTCTCAGCCATTCCAGATTACAACCACAGTTCAAAAAAGAATTCGCAGTACTGAAATCGAAGCTAGAGGGAAGAGAAACTGGTGATAAATCACCCAACTAAAATCAGATGAAGTCCAAATGAACTGCTGAAGTAAAACTTCACAGAAAAAAGGTATTATACTGCAGAAATCTCATAACAATAGGTTTATATTGATGTCAGGCCTAAAAAGGAATGTTTCAGGACTGTTGGCTACAAGGTGGGATCAAAACCCTATCAAGACCGAACCAGTCTTCAAAACAAATGATTAACCAGTTAAAGGAGGCCTGGGCGACATCAAATATAGAGTCTTATACTGATTGAATCAGCCGAATTAAAGAAAACAAGAAAAAGCTGACCTGCTGGGTGTCCTTTTCAGAAAAGATCTATCAGCTTTGGCTGATTGAAACAGCCTTCAGATAATCTCCAAACAGAGGCCAATGGTAATCAAATACTTCTAATACTTCTCAGATAACCTTTTAATCATCCAAGAAAGAAATCGAATCAGCAGCTGGTAGACATGACCTGCTCTGGTACCATGTCACTAAACCAGTTTGAAGGAGAGGAGAGAAAGAGTTTCAGGGGTGTCTAAACAGTTTACTCGACCCCCACCCCAAAGAGCCATATATATTAAATAATATTAAGAATTATAGAAGAGTCCTTGGAGGACTAAATGATAAAAAAAGGAAAATACAAAAGAGCCCTTAGAGGGTCTGAAATAGAAATACAAAGAATACGAAAAGAACAAGACTATGTACAGAAGGGACTATAGTAATACAATACATCAGATTTCTTCACATAATCTTTTAAATACTCTAGAAGGAGTTTACCTTAATGCAAGGAAATGGGATTCTAGAATTGGATTCCTCATCCATCTGGTGGGTTCTCTTGTGCCTCTTTCTTCAAAACCTTAACCCTTCTTGATCCTCCATTGCAGTCCTTTCCTATGAAGTGCGGTGAAAACCTTTTTATTCCCCCTAAGATTGGGATTTTCTGTTGGGAAGCCTTTCATGCAAGTATCAACACCTCTGACCTCCTACAAAGGAGACCTAATTGGTATTTGTCCCCTAATTGGTGTGTGCTGTGTAGATCAAATGGTGAGTCATGTTATCATTTACTGATCTCTTGTCCATTTGTTCTTTGCATTTTGGAAGGATTTTCTCTTTTTGGGTGCAGGTGGAATCTTCCTAAGTGTAGCTAATTTATTTAGTACAACAACCTTTAGATGGGCAAAAAGAAAAGGAAGAGTTATGTGGAGATGTACAAGGGAAGTATTGGTATGGACTATTTGGAACGAAAGGAATGCTAGATTGTTTGTGATTAGGATAGAACTAAAGAGGCAATCATAGAATATATCTCAGTGATTGTGGCTTACTGGCTGATGACTTTAGACATGTATTCATCCTGCTCCTTTGATGATACCATGAGGAATCAGTAGTAGTATTCTCCTCATCTAAAAAGGAAAAGGTGGTGAAATTGTGGACTTCATCGTAGAGGGACCTCATAAAGATGAACTCCGATGGTAGCTGCTTTGGGAATCTTGGCCCCTCTGGAATAGGATGAGCATTTAGAGATGAAAAAGGCAAAAAGCTAATATCATTGCAATGTTTTCAGGACCAATTGGGTTAGGTGAATCAACAAAAGCAGAAATATTGGCTGCAAGGTTTCAAATAGAGAAAGCAGTGGAAATGAACGTAAAGAAATTAATAATTGAAGGAGACTCAAAGAATGAAATAAATTGGTTGAAGGATGAGAGGAAAGTGCCATGGAGCTACAGGCATGAGATCAATAAATTCAAATTGGTGTGAAAAGAGCTGCATGGCTGTAACTAAAGATTTTATGGGTTCAGAAGTCTGCAAATAGTTTGGGTGATTCACTTGCAAGACAAGGGGTAAATAGAAATCAAATGTTTTGGTCTCAGTTGTAAGGGCTATGCTTCCTTGTTTTCTATTTGTAAACATAAGGATGTAGACATTTATTTCTTAGTTGATTCCTCACCCCTTGTTTAGCTAGATAATCTGCCATTCCATTTGCCAGTCTCCTGTCCCATTGAAGGCTGACTGTTATGTTTGTGGTTATCCATTTGAACCTTCTCAAAGCCCCCTATAGGACCAAGTCACTGTCTCTGGTTCTTTAAGTCACCCAATTATCATTTTCAAGTGACCGTCAATTAACAAGTGTTCAATGTTCATTTCTTTAGCAATCTCTGCTCCTTGTAGCACTACTCGGACTTCCCCGTTAACTGAGTCCCCCACTCCAATAGGGCTAGAGAATAAGGCAACAATCACCCTTAGCATTTTGAAAACTTCCCCAATATCATATGTCCCTAGATTGCCTAGACTACTACCACCAAAGTTTAGTTTGATGACACCTTCAGGATGCCTCCACTCCACCACCAGTTTATCCCTTAAAACAGAGGTGAAAAATGATACAAGGATTTAGCCCAATTTATGGCCCTACTGATTATACAATCCCATGCACTAACCTCATCCTTCTCCTTATCATTGAAAGTTCTGGCATTTCTTTCCTCCCAAACAGTCCAAACCAAAGCAGGCCTTGCGCACCTCCACAAGACTGTACCTCTTTTCTTTGGCCACCTGTAGTATGGTCAAAAAGACTACTTATCTGCATGACACTAACACCTGCAACCAGAAAGACCAAAAAGCTTCTCCCAAAGAACTATAACAAAAGGGCAGGAGATTAGTAAATGGTAGCACCTTTCTCCATTGGCTTTGTAGAGGATACACCAGTTAGAGGAGATACTGGGACAAAGTCTTCTTTTTTGTAAGTTGTGCAGCATGTTTAATTTTCCAAGAGACACTTTCCGACAAAGAGCTCCCACCTTAGGAGGTATGGGTTTGGACCAAATATCCTTACTAGGAAAAGTTTGAGTGTTAGGGACCAAGCATAAAAGGTAGAGAAGGAAGCACAAGAAAACAATCCCAGTGGGTACGGGGTCCAAATGCGAGTATTCGACTTAGATGGGTCCAATCAAACAGCATCAAGAGTTTTAAGGAGCAAATCTGCCTGGTCAAGCACATGATCCCCCAAATCTCTTCTAAAACCCAAATTCCAGCTGAAACCAGAAGGCTGGGAAAAAGAAACAAAACTCTGAATAGGTTTATTTTTAAAAAGAGAGGGAATACAGGGGACTTAAAAAGGTCCTTGAGGGTAGAGTTATCAATCCAAACATCCTCTCAGAACAAAACCCTATGTCCAGTACACACATTTAGTCTGAGTTGTTTGAATTTTAAAACTATCATTAAAGTAGCAATTTACCATTGTAATTGAACTTGACAGGATGCAGAAAATAGTGTAGGCATATCTAGAGTGGTGAGTTGGAGTCAGATCATTGATGCTAACTTTTAGAACAACTAGTTGTTGTTTGACTTTATTGATTGATATGCCCTTTAGTACTCCCCCTCCCTCTTTTTCTCTCTCTGCTCCACTTCTCTTTATTTTTCTTAAGGCCCATACAGATTCCTAGGAAAGTCAACTGGGAGGAACACATACCTCAAGGCTCAGCTCATTGGGAGTGGCAGACAGTTTTAGCCAAACTTTTTGATGAACGTCCTATATGGCACAAACATACACTAAATCAACGCTTGCTAGAGGAAGGTCTACATTTTGGTGCTCACCAGCTTAAAAGGTTTTTATTCCCAGAAGATTTATTTATTTTTTTCATTCAAATTTTGTGTTTCTTTAGTGTATTTTTATTTTATGGATAATGTATTAAATGTATAATGCTTGACGCTTGCACTGATGTGATTATCCTACTTGATTGTTGTAGGCTTCTTTTTAGGATTGCATACTACTTTGCAACAGGTCCATTTCGCCTATTTTGGATTAGAAAAGGATATGACCCTCGGAAGGATTCTGAGTCTCGGATGTAAGAGTTCTACTTTGAGAATCCTATTACCTTATGCATATCTAAGGTCTTCTTGTGCAATCTTTTGTTTTTATTTTTTTGAAGGATAAAAGAGAATTTCATTAAAACTGAAAAAAGAGGTACAATGCAAGACAGTTGGCTGTCAAGCTGACATAACAATCCAAATTCCAGACAATCTCAAACTATAAATAACTCGTTGTTACAAGGTTGCAAATCTAGTGTACTCTAGAAGTTCTCTAACAGATCAGTTCTGTTCACTTGATCGAAATCTGGAAGATGAAGAACCCAATCTGATGCAAGTTTACCCACTGTTTGCTACCAGATGATTAATGCTCACCTGTCCTCAAATACTCTTCTATTTCTCTCATTCCAAAGTGACCAGTAGACTGCAAACACGATACATCTCCAGAATCCTGACTTTCTTGCTTCATTTGAGTTTTGTCCATCTAGAGAGTAGAAATTCCAAATAAAGTTTGCCAGAATACAGGAAAAGAACAAATGAAGAACTGTCTCCTCTTCCATTTGACATAAATAGCAGCAGCTTGCCAAATTAAAACCTTTAGCCTTCAAGTGATCCGTAGTGAGAATGTTGTCATGGGCTACCAACCAAGCAAAGGCTTACCGGGTTACTCCATACTCCTTTTATCTGACCCAACTCTTGGTTATCTCTTACTAATGTCTTGTATAATGACTTTACTGAGGATTTTCCATCTTTGCTCTCTTTCCACCACAAACCATCTCCTGTGGCCACTGAAATGTTTATTCCTTCTAGTTTTTCCAGCAGCATATACACTCTTCCACTTCTTGGTCCAATAAAGGTCTTCTGTATTTTGGATTCCAGATCAACTTCTCCCCTCTCCTCTTGTAACACTAATCAATTGTAACTTGTTGTTCAGTCAACCTGTATAACCTTGGGCAAACCTCACACAGTTTTCCTACTTCAGTCCATTCATCTTCCCAAAACCTAACACTAGATTCATCCTGTAGAGAACACTGATGTGGGCCCCACGGCTGTGGTCCCCACTGTGTTCGTATGACAGCACAGCATGTACTCTTTGTTAGTTATGTCACTGGTAGTTGGTAGTTATTTCAGACAGCTTGTTATTTCAGCTTATTATATTAGTTTATTTGCATGTAAGCATTAAGGGCAATTCTGCCTTTTTCTACAGTTAGTAAACTTATAAATGTTAAGAGTGGGACAGCAGATTAATTAATTCAGCCCCTCTCTCTCCTTTCTAAAACCCTTGTGTACTTCTCTTCTCCTTTTTCTCCTTCTTTCTTCTTCTTTTCTCCATCAAAACCTTTTTTCTTTTTGATTCAAGACTTATTGTAGTCTTGATCGACTACTTGGTATCAGAGCCAATCTAGGGTTTCTCATGTGTGTCTAGTCCAGCCAACCACATGAGAACTGCCTAGGGCTGGAAGCTTAGAAAGAACTGTTCGTTGGCTGATTCTTGGAGGTTACCAGAAGGGTTTAGCAACCGTCTGAAGGTTTGTAGAGGCTTGGAGAGTGTTTTGGTAATCAGGAAGAATCAGAGAAGGTTCAAAGGATCGATATTAGGGTTTAGGCCAAGATTGAAGGTGGTGATCAGAAGTTTCTGGGTAAGTTTTTATCTTTCCTTGAGATCGTCATTAGTCAAGGGTTTGTTAGACTTATCTAGGAGGAGCGGCTGAGCTCTCCTTTATTTTTCAGAGGCAATCAGAATTCTCTGATTTTTTTAGGGTTTTTTCTTTAACCCTACGACCAGATTTGACTGTGAACCTATTTGGAAGGTGCGGCTGTGCACTGTTTCTGTTCTCACAATGTTTCCTTAACCCTATGATCAAACCCTAAATCAGTTTCAGCATTCCAGACTGTTTTTTAAGTGAGTTCTAGGCTTGTTTCGGCTCCAAATTCTGTTTTTGGGGTGAGAACCTTCATCGAGAATTGGAACAGCTTACATTCTGAACTGTCGATTGGTTTCAGATCAGATCTGAACTAGGTTCACCCTCAAATTCAGAACTGTCGATTGGTTTCAGATCAGATCCGAACTGAGTTCACACAGAATTCTGTTTCCTTTGTTTGTGGAAGACCTAGGCTGATTGTGATCAGTTGTTTAAGTGCTGTTTTTCTTATTACAGTAGCTCTAACAGTTTTTGATTACTGATTCTTAACCAAGAATGGAGTTCAAGAATCAGGGGGAAGGTGTTTTTGGGACTAGCAATTCTGGTAATATGTCTGAGACTGCATTTCAGATTACAACTGTGAGGTTTGATGGATCCAACTACTTAGAATGGGCCCAATCAGCCATGATGGCTATTGGGGGAAGATGAAAACTTAGCTACCTATTGGGAGATGTGAAAGAACCATCCAAGGAGGACCAAATGTATACCAAGTGGGTTCAGGAGAACTACTTAGTTATGACATGGCTATGCAACTCTATGCAGCCACATATCAGCCAAAACTATTTGTGGGCAAAAACATCCAAGGAGATCTGGGATGTCATGGAAGAAACCTACTCCCAACCCCTTAATGTTGCTAGAGCCTATGAATTGAAGTGTGAGGTTAATAACCTCAAGCAAGGAGAGAAACCGGTCTCCGTTTACTTCTCTACCTTGAAATCTCTGTGGCATGAAATTGATCATCTGGAAACACTTGAGTGGGAAAGTCAGAAAGATGCACAAACTCGTAGAAAGCAAGTTGAGACTAATAGGGTGTTTGAACTCCTAGCTGGTCTGAATTCTGATTATGATATTGTGAGACAACAGATACTAACAAGGGATAGTGTGACTTTATCCCAAACCTACTCCTTGGTGCATAGTGAAGACACTAGGAGAAAGGTTATGGTGCAGCGTCAACCCTTCCCACCAGCCTTGGCAGTAGTTAAACCTAAGTCTGGGGGTGATACAGAAAGGGATATGAAGAAGGAAGATAAGCGGGATCTAGTGTGTGAACATTGCAAGAAACCCAAGCATATTAAAGACACATGTTGGAAGCTGCACCCTCATCTAGTCCCAGCAAAACTAAGGAACAAAAGGGGTAATGCTCATATGGCAGTTAACATTGATTCTGCATCCTCATTGGGCACAAAGGGCACGCCCCTAGACACCTTAGCTGCTGTTCGGGCTGCCCTAATACAGTTCGAAAAGGAGGTTGGTAATTCAGCTCAGTCATCTCAGTCATCATCAGCTCTTGCCACATCAGCCTTTACTCATTCAGGTACTCGGGCCTCAGCTTACCATGCTTCAGTTTCAGGTAACACTGAACATTGTTGGGTAATAGACTCAGGTGCATCTGACCATATGACTAGCTTGCCATCACTGTTCACTACCTATCATTTATCTTCTGGTAGAGATAAAGTGTCCATTGCTGATGGTTCCCTTGTTCCCATTTCTGGCAAGGGAGACACCAAGTTGTCTAATACCATTTCTTTATCCTCAGTTTTGCATGTCCCTAAGCTTGATACTAATATGCTTTCAGTTAGTAGTATTACAAAACATCAGAACTGTTTAGTAACCTTCTTCCTTGACCGATGTGTTTTTCAGGACTTGGAGACGAGGAAGGTGATTGGGACTGGCCGTGAGACRAATGGGATCTATCTGCTTGGAGAGAGTTCTCATTGGAAAGATCATGAAGATAAGAAGTCTTTTGTTTCTTAGTCTGTTAGTYCGGTTATGCTTTGGCATAATCGGTTAGGTGATTTATCATTTCGGTCTTTGAAGAGTCTGTTTCCTAATTTGTTTGAGTCTGTTCAGATGTCAAATTTGAGATGTGAGAGTTGTGAGCTTGCAAAGCATTGTCGAACATCTTATTCCTTGAGTAATAAAAGAAGTAATTCTCTTGATGTTGTGCAAACCGATGTTTGGGGCCCGTATCACATCCCTTCTATGGGGGGGGGGGTACAAATATTTCTTGTTGTTTGTTGATGACTATACCCGTTTTTCTTGGGTTTACCTCATGCGTTCCCAAGATGAGGTTCCTGCTCCGACCCAAACCTTTCATCAGATTATTTTAACCCAGTTCAGGGTCAAAATCAAAATCCTCAGATCTGATAATGCGAAAGAATACTTTACCAAGCCACTGGCCTCTTATCTACTTGATCATGGGATTATTCACTAGAGCACTTGTCCTTATACACCACAGCAGAATGGGGTTGCCGAGAGGAAGAATAGGCACATTTTGGAGGTGGCTAGAAGCATTATGTTTACCTCCAATATGCCTATCCGTTTCTGGGGCGATGCTATTCTCACAACAGTGTATCTCATTAATCGGGTTCCTTCACGGGTTCTTGACATGAAGCCTCCGTTTACCCTTCTATACCCAGATGAAGAATTATTTACTGTTCCCCTTAAAACCTTTGGTTGCACCTGCTTTGTTCAGATTCTTGGATCTCATTGTTCCAAATTTGACCCCAAGGCCTCCAAATGCATTTTTCTCGGTTATACACAAATTCAAAAGGGTTGTTGCTGCTATGAACCTACTTCCGGGAGGAGATTTGTTTCGGTGGATTTTACTTTCTTTGAGGAGGTACCCTATTACCCTAGGGTTTCTCCTCAGGGGGAGAGTAGTAAGAATGAGGGGGTTTTTTCCTCAGGGGGAGAGTAGTGAGAGTGGGGTTACCTCATCTAAAGTTCCTTTACCTATTCCATTGAGTGATGAGGGCTATAATGGGGAGGGTTGTTAGAGGTGTTAGGAGTTAAAAGTCTATCACAGGCGGTGGAGGCAGGTTGATTTCGGTCATCAGCAGTCCAGGCCAGTCCCAGTTCCATCTACGAATCCAAATCCAGGTACTACAGTCCCCTTATCAGATCCAGGTCCTACTGAGATACCTTCCACTATTGCTACTTCATCATCACTTCCTTCGGATGATGTTGACCTCCCTATTGCAGTCCGTAAAGGGAAACGGCGTTGCACCACATCCACGACTCACTACATTTCCTAGTTTCTGTCCTATGATCGCCTGTCTCCCTCTTACAGGTCCTTTCTCACTTCCATTGCTGATATTCCTTTCCCCAGAACA